GGAGCCCGATGCGGGACTCGATCCCGGGACTCCAGGATCATGACCTGAGCCGAAGGCAGTCGCTTAACCAACTGAGCCACCCAGGCGCCCTCCTGTCATTAACTTTTTAAGAGAAAATTTTTCTCTGAAATTCAGATTCAGCTACTGAATGCCTACTGTGAGTCAGGAACTGCTCACATACATTATAAGACAATGCTCTGCATGGTAGATGTTAACCCCATTTTACAGATGGTAGGGTCACTGAGTCTCGGAAAGGTGAAATGGCTTCACGAGGTAAATCTGAGATTTTAATCTAAGCTGCCGGACTACAACGTCATTGAGCTTTCAACTCTACAGATGTTCTTGTTACCATGTCAAACACGTCTAAATCATACCCAGTCTCAAGGAAATGTTAGTGAGTTATTTTATTTTTATTGTGATTTTCATTGGCAAGGTGGTACTATAACAATGATGCTTATAATATTATAACCCTTCTGTGTGTTTATTTCATCTGATCATCATTTAATCAATGATTTTGAATTATCCAGCTCTCCTGGCTCCACGAGTTGTTAAACTGCCTCAAGGAACAAAGGGTCCCAGCCCTTCCCATAATAGGCTATGTGACCTGGGATAATTCATTTAACTTCTCTGTGTCCCATCCTCCCCATCTCTAAGGTTGGAGTAGGATGATCACTGAGCGTCCTTCCGTGCTTATGATCCTGTTGGAGATGAGGAGGATTCTTTCTTAGTGCTAGTATTGCAAATCCAGATCTCAGTCTTTTATAAACAGCTGAATATGAATTTATTTTGTACTTAGAATTTAACCATATAAATAGACAAGTTTGAAAATAATTCTGTGGAACGATAGGATAAATTTTAACTGGGGCCTTAATTCGAAATGCACAAAAGACTAGCTAGCAATCTGTGGCAGGGGTTAAAAGGAACATGTTGGTCTGTATGAGCATCAGGGGCAAATTCGTTCGTCCTGGCAACAGCTACACCAGATCTGTTTGATCTGGGAGAGTGAGAATGAGAGGAAGTGGATAGTTGAGAAATTAGCAGGAACAGTGTGAGATGCTGTATGAAAATCTAACGTATTTCTAGCCACTAAACTTGTTCAACACTGACAAAAAGAGCCAGTCATTCTGTAAGGATTGGGACAAAAGAGATTTCACAGAGGAGTGAATGTGAAGGAAAAAAAATTCAAAGCAGGAGACAGAAAAACAGCGATTCTCAAAGGACGTGGAGGAGATTCACAATAAGGCTGGGAGACTTTCTCTCCCTCGTTCTGGTGCCTCCAGAGCGGGAGTACCCCTCAGCTAACCAGGGTACTCCTGTTACTAACCACCTCCGGTGTGAAGGGCAAGAATCAAGTGAAAAGATTTAAGAGAATGTAAATTGACTACTGGATTCCCCTTTGAGTACTGTATTCATACTTTAAAATTAATCCTTATTGAAGTAGCAAATTGATTTTGCAAAATGGTTTTTAGGGGTTTTTTTTTTTTTGCAATGTTGTTAAAAACTATAGGTTTACTGGGGTTATGTGGGTGAATGTCCTGGTCTGTACAGATGTCTCCTTGCCACAACCTATTTCTTTACTCTCTGAAACTGTGGTGCATCAACTTTCCTTTTCCATCCAGGTGTGCCGGTGGGGGAACAAACAGCGGCATGGCAGATCCGTGTTGTGCCTGAATTCCTTTTAAAGCATAGGCAACTGGTTCACCCCTTTTTTTCCCTCCCTTTCCTCTTCTCTAACCCCTTCTTTTTTTCCCTTAGCACTCATGAATAGTGCACAGCAAAAATGCCCCGTGGAAGAGGTATGTTTGTGACAATGACATGATACCTTTTTAATAGTGTTGTGTCTGCTGATTCTAATCGGCTGTCGTGATGGTGGTGACGTGATTGTAGCGCACTTGCTGAGCCTCTGTCTGACTTCGTGCAACCATTCGTACAAATCAGATGTGCCACTCGGAGCTTGAGCCTCTCTGTCCTCTTTTATTCCAGGAGACAAAATGCATCTCAGCTTGGTTTAGCTCTCGATAAAAATCGGCGAATGATACGAATGTAGGACTCCTGATAGACCAGCCCAGCATAGGTTCAGCTGTCGCAGCTCCATCTCCAGCCTAGATTTCATTCCCACCTCCCACCTCCACCCCTGCATCCCAGCTTTGGCAGCCTCCGTGTTCAGAGAGGACCCAAAGTTAATAGGAGGAAAGAAAGAAAAGATTCATACTGTCAGCCTTTTCAAATCAGAAGAATTAAAAAAGTAGAGTACTAGAGAGAGATGAAGGCGACTGGCAGAAATAGTTTATACCTGAAACAAATTCCCCTTTGTGTGCGTATCTTTACAGTATAGTACTTGAAGATTTTCTTAAAGGAACTGTTAGAATGTGCTTCTTGAAAATAGGAATAATATTCTCCATTACACGTATGTGTAATATGTGACACCAAATGTGACATTTTCCAGATCACATGATTAAGACTTGATTTAATTTAAAAATAAATTTGGAAAAAGTCTGAACCATCTATAGCTTTTTGAGTTTGAGGCTAAAAGGAAAAGTCAGTGCTGCATATACAGTAATATGTGCTAAAACATGTTTATAGAAGTGTTGTGAACAGTTTTTGCATTTATTACTATCTTTTGAATTTAAGTAATAAAACAATTCAAAGGTTATAAGAGCCCAGAAAAATGAGAAAATAGTTGAAAATTGGACCCCTTTCACTTTCTTTACAATAGAGTTGTAAACAAACATCACAAAAGTGCAGTCATATGGATTAAAATAGATATTTAAAATTTTTTCTGCCCATTGTAATGTCGTGTCATTGTCATAATGCTCTTACCAGGCAATTTGTATTTAATAGTTTTTTCTTTTCTCTTTTCATTCTTCAAATTATTCTCAGAACCATGGAATGTGCTTTGGGGAATTTTTGAAATCTATGTTTTCTTATGCAATTCAAATCTGTAACTGAAATTAATTTTATGCCATATAAAAAGATCAGTTTGATTTGCTTTTCTGCTTAAGGATGTTAAAATTCATACATCCTCTATGATTTCAAGTATAAGCTAATTTTTTCCCATAATGTACCCTATAAAAATATAAACCTTTATTGAATGTACTGATTTTGTATTATAGCAGTTTATTCTTTCTTCTGTAGCTTCTCGGACTTCTTTTCAGAGCGAGTTTCATCGAGATAGGAGGTATGGTTATAACAGAGGTCATATATTTTGCTAATAATGAAATCGAAGTCTGCTATGTATCAGTTAGCCAGTTAAATATTTCTCTTTCATAAGCAATGTATTACATAACCAGTGTTCCGCCTCACCAGTACATTTCCTGAATTAATCCGTAAGTTAGAATGATGAAAATTTTGGTGGGAGAAGAAGCAATACAAGCCTCAAAATGTTCTTTTGGCAATGATTATTTATTGAAGTTAATTTTTTAAATGTTTATTAAGCACCTGCTATATGTAAAGCACTGTTGTAACTGCTCAAAAGCACCTGCTATATGTAAAAGCACTGTTGTAACTGCTTTGAATTGCTCAAAGAAAGGCTTTGTACCTCCTAGCTACTTTGTAAATGTTGCATAAATAAATGGATGACAAGATAGAAAATCGAATGGAAGAATAAGGAGGGAAAAAGAGGCAGGGTGGATGGATAGCTGAATGGATAAATGGCTGCATGGCTGGTGTGAGGGAAGGAGGGAGGAGGGAGGGGAGAGTCATTGGATAGATAGAAGGAAGGACCAGTAAACACACACAGATGGTAGAATGAATGGAAGCATGGATAGGTAGATAAATAGATGAATGGATTTTTATAAGACATGGTCCCTGCTTTCACATTTCTTACAGGGTAGTATAGAATAATGAAGAATGAGGATTTTAGAGTCAGACATAACCGAGTTCAAATTTTGACTTCACTGCCTTCTCACTGTGTGGCCTTGGGCAAGCTGCTTAACCTTTTCTTAGCTTCTGTATCCCCATCTTTAAAATGTTGCTAATCAGGGGCGCATGGCTGGCTCAGTTGGTACAGCATGCAACTCTTGACCTTGGGGTTGTTAGTTCGAACCCCATGTTGGGTACAGAGATTACTTAAAAATAAAATCTTTAAAAAAAAATGTTGCTAGTCATACCTATCTTAAGGCTGTCATAAGGATTACTGCATGGGTAGTGATTAGTATTTATTAGCCACTAACTTATTATTTAATTAGACAAAAGCTATAAGCAGAGGTTTTTAGGTAATGCAATTCAAATTTAATCAATAAGCAGGTTCTACTGTTTCATGAGCTGGCACAAGAATGCGTGAATATGCCCAGTTTTGATAATAGCAGTGCTTTTTTTTTTTTTTAAAGATTTTATTTATTTATTTGACAGAGATAGAGCCAAAGAACACAAGCGGAGGGAATGGCAGAGGAGAGGGAGAAGCAGACTCTGCACTGAGCAGGGAGCCTGACGTGGGGCTTGATCCCAGGACCCTGCGATCATGACCTGAGCTGAAGGCAGATGCTCAACCATCTGAGCCACCCAGGCACCCCAGTAGCAGTGCTTTTTTATTTTCATTTTCTGTAAAGTGCTCGAGAAAGGCAGGGCGGATATCATCATCCCTATTTGTTAGATTAGAAAACTGAGGCTCAGAGAGGTTGATTGTTCAGGGTCACACAGTTGGTGTTTGTTAGGAAATGAGGTTGAATATAAAGTTTAAACACGAGAATGTAGAATCAGATTAAGAAAATGATGAAAGGAGCCGTGCCTGAATCACTGTGGCTCCTCAGTATTACAGGTTAATTATCAAATTCATATACCACACTGACCAGGAGCACAGACACACATAGCAGGGTCTAGAAGTGAACATGCAAACTCTAAACACTTAGAGATGATTTTGAATTAGGGCAGAGGCTGGGTGAGGAGGAAAAGGATAGTCCTCTTATATGGTATCATATCAGAGTAGATCTTTTATAATGGCAGAAAACAAAACAATTCTATTTGACCAGTGTACTTTCTGCTGTACGTATATTATTATGTTTGTGGTATAGGCAGGATAGCAGAACCCTGGAATGAAGAGATGGTGTGGGTCTTACTTAGCCCTTATCTTTATCCACCAAGGCAGAGCTGAGTGTGCTCAAGGTACATCTCTAACTTTGAGCCCTGGAGTCCTGGAAGATGACTCTCGTTCTCCCTTGATAGCCCAGGCCAGACAGGTCATTTCTAGGACTGTGGAGGTTCTTATGTAACTTTTTTGGGGCAGTGGTTGTTTTCACGACTCTCTGAACATTTGCAGATAGACGATAGCTTGTTACCAACCTGCAAACCCTCACTGAGGTCTTGTCTGCTAGGCGCCCAGAGATCACCATCGTGGCAGCTGAGCCCCTGAGGCCGGCCTCGTGGTTTCCAGGAGCCCCACCCCCGGGACTGGGATTTCCCCCTTCTTCGGCAGCAGGCCCTTGGAGGCCCAGTGAGCTGGTTCCTGCTGAGGTAAATAAGTATTACATTCCCTTGGCATTTTATTTTTAAAAGTGAGTTCAAAGATAAAAAGAGTGAGACTGTTAATACTTTGGCTCTTGTCCATAGAGGTCTAAAATCTTCATTCTTTTATTTTGCAGCTCCCACCATCTTATGAACAAGTCATAAAAGAAATCAACCAAGTTCAAGTTAATACTACAAATAATAATAATGCTGCTGCCACTCCAAGGCACACTATTACGTCTGCAACTCAGACTGACTTTACAGAAGAATTAGACAACCATCTGCCTCAGAGTAGTGCAAGTAATTTGTCCTCCCTAATTCTGACCTAGTTCTAGGGAAGTAATCAGTAGGCTTCTAGGCTTTAAATGATTTGTGACTTGTGCATAATGCATCGAGCTCTGCTTCCCAGTGAGTGTGATCACTGTGTGCTTCCTTTATTTTGGTTTGCTGTGATTATTACAATAGATCATTCTCATGAGCCGCATCCCCAATCTCGGGGGCTCACCCCAGTTCATATCACAAAAAAAAATCATCCTTTTAACCATGGTTGTATTACTGCTGATCCCCTTTATTCCCATTGAGAAGGAGGTTATATTTAGCAACTTAAACTTGACAGAGTGTAAGATATTAGGCTTTTAAAAAGCATTGTTTTCAAATAACAGAGATGAGAGTAAGTTACTTTGGAAAAGTAAAGCAAGCAGTGTTGGGATTCTGACGAGAGGGAAAGGGTTCATATGGTAAGTCTCCTGGGAATCAAGAATTTAATGGTGTTTTAAAACTATTATGTAATGAATATTTCTCTTATGAATAAATACAACTTGAACACTCCTGTGAGAAGCGGAGTGTAAACATTTCCCCTTGATTTTGGAATTACTTTTTACTAATTAAGGAAACCAGGATCTCTTGATATTCTACATGTATATTTAAACAGTCTGTGTATCTTGTATTTTTTTTCTTTTAAATTACAATGTTGCAACTTCTGTCTGTGGGTTTTATTCTTGTCAGCACTACAGGCACCTCTCAAGCCTCTCCAGCCTTCCCCGGCGGTCGCAGCCAGTGATCTTCCAACAAATGTGGCACCTTTAATCGTCTTTGATATTTCAGAAGAACAGAATTGTCCAGAGAATTCCAGTGCTGCAAGATGTCCAGTGCCAAGACCAAGATCAAAAGCCAACCTCAGACCAGTAGCCAGAGACAGTCACATTAAAGCGCCAAATCACCAGAAAACCAGCCCCACGGCCACAGAAAAGGAGTCCTCGCTGAGCCAGCCCCAGTCTTTGTTGGACAGTACCAACGACTTGGAAAGTCAGGCAGTGATGAACATTATGAACACAGAACGAAGCCAAAATAGTGTCGTTTCAAGAATCAAAGCGTTTGAGGGTCAGACAAATAAAGAAACCTCGGGACCGCCGGCGAAACCGGAAACTGCTCCCCGCACACTCCCCCCCAGGCCTGCTGTTCCCTCAGGGAAACCCTCAGTGGCTCCCAAGCCAGCTGCCAGCAGAGCTTCTGGAGAGTGGGACTCCCGGACTGAAAACAGACTCAAGGTGGCCCCTAGGGAAGGGCTCACCCCGCACTCTCCACTGCAAGTAGGGAGCATCCCAGCAACCAAACCTGAATTGCCAAAGAAACCAAATGCTGGCCTTACACGAAGTGTTAATCATGAGATTCTGGGAGGAGGGTCCGTGGCTGAGAGCCCTGACGGTGGGAAGAAAGTCCCAACTCCTGCTCCTCGGCCGCTGTTGCCGAAGAAATCGGTTTCCTTAGAAAACCCCAACTCCACAGCTCTGCCGAAACCAGTCACCGTTCCTCCCCGACTCTCAGTGGCGTCACAGGCCAAAGCATTCAGGTCACTGGGAGAAGGACCCCCGGCCATCTCCCCAGCTCCAGCTCTGCAAAGCAAGCCTCCAGGGGACATTGACCTCATCAGTTTTGATGATGATGTTTTACCCACACCAGCTGGGAACCTGGTTGAAGAATCTCTTGGTTCAGAGATGGTTCTGGGTGAGTAAAAAGGAGAAGTGGAAGGGAGTGTAAACTCATCAGAGGGCGTCTTGAATGGCACTTGCTGTTTTCGTTTCTACGACCTAATTTCTGGAGGGGTGTGCCTGTGTGTGTATGCACATGCCTGTGTGTGTGTAAGACAGAAACACAGAGAGATGAAGAAACATGGAGCTGGGTAGGAGATGGAGACAGAGAGGGACAGGAAAATCTGGAATGGGGGAAATGGAGACAGAGAAAGACGGAGACACATATTGATAACGACTACATGAGCCAGAAATAAGCAGACTGGGTCTAGCGACTAAACTAGGTGTGAGGCTGGCTTCCTAATTCTGGCAGGTGGAGAGTCAAGCATCAGGGGAATGCAAGGGAAACTTCTCATAGATGCTAAGTCACACAGTGGCCCCAAAAGGGCTCCTCAGTTTGAGCTGGCCTCGCTGGGAGAGCCAAGCGAGGCGCCTGCCCCGGGGAGGACTCCGGCGAGAGCAAAGCCGGGAATGAGGACCCAGCCATATGTAGCAAAATTTTTTTCGCTAATCTTCACAGAACATCTTCCCTGGGGAATGCAAAGTTTTGTAAATAAAATACAACAGCTGTACATTTCCTGCCAGGATCAGGACAATTAAATTTCTCAAGAGGAAATTCAGAAAGTATGTTTTCTTTCCTCACACTGTTCAGATGAAGGGTATGATAGTAAAGCTTACCTTTGATTTGTCAAAGTGAGCTGCTTTACTTGTCATTGATGATTCCTTTTACTGCTGTTTACTTTTTTGGGTAGCATTTGTGAACATATAAGCCTAGTAGTATTTTCAAAAGGTTAGCTGTCATCTTATAAATGTTCAACGTGCATCAAAATGGGATAAGCTCTGTGATTCGAAACCAAATTCTGCACAGCACAGGTGTATTTTAAATGATAACAAACGTTTATTAAATATTTATCATGCATACAACATGTACAGCATGCCTATAAGGGGTAGAAGGACAGACGTTAGAATAAACTGAGCTTCTGCAGTGTTCCAAACCTTCTGCTAGATACCCAGACCTACATCATTTAATTTAATACTTAGACTAATCCTCTGCAAGGTATTGTTGGCCTCAGTTTGCAGAAGAAAATGAGACAGAGAAATCAATGGGTAGCTTGCCCAGTGTTGTAACACTAACAGCTTCCAAGGCATGATTCAGACGTCATCTTTTTATTCTAGGTCTAGTGTATTTTTCATTATATTCCCTTGCTACCCAACATTTGTATGAATCCTTAAGCCAGGTAACACTTCAAGTCTTTGTTACGTCATTTTTTTAATTTAAACCTTTTTGGTGTTAACAAGGTTCAGGGTAGGATAGGGATGGTAAATCCAACAACAGCAAGCTGTTAAGGGGTGGAAACAGCACAAGCCAAAGAAATACCACCTTTTGTAGAAACTGCTGGATTCTATGGAGATGGCAACTTGGTTAATAACTGCTGAGAATTTATTCCCTGTCATCAAACAGGTAATTACAGTCATCTTCCAAAAGAAGGTCAACAGTATACATTCAACATGAATAAAGTCTCATGTCTCATACTCAGCCTTTTCTGTTCCTTGATTTCTACCACCTCGTTGCACGATATTTAATTATATAGGCAGTCTCTTAGCAAAATGTGTAATTTGCTTGCCCTACCTGACTTTAACCATTGCTCTCGACTGTGGAATTACACTGAACGCTTACTTTGTCATCTTTCTAAACCTGCTCCTCTTCCTATTTTCTGCACCTCACTTAATAACGCCATCATATACCCAGCCTTCCTTAGAGAATCCTAGAGATCATCTTCGAGTCTTCTACATGTCACACCGTGGCTGTTTGTTTAGACTTGGAGGCAAATAGGCCCGCCGACCACTTAATTGCTATGTGACTTTGGGCAGTTTACCCCACTGTGCCTCAATTTCCTCATCTATAAAACATGGTAATAATAATACTCATGGAGGCAGTACGAGGATTAAATGTGATTATGCAGGAAGGCCCTGTCCCATTGTCTGAAACATGGTAAGTGCTCATTAAGTAGTAATTATTGTTACTTCTTGCCCTTCACATCCAATCAGTTACCAACTCCTGCTGGTTTAACCTTCTAAGTAGTTCTTGAGTCCTCCTTTCATTTCCATCCCCCTGTACTGCCCCACGTTAGGCCTTTATTCCAGGTTACTGCAGTGGCCTCCTAAATTGAGCCCCAACTTCTGCCTCAAACCCATCATCCTCCATATTATGGCTACCCAAGGGATTTTTCTTTTCTTTTTTTTTTTTAAAGATTTTATTTATTTATTTGAGAGAGAATGAGAGAGAGAGAGCATGAGGGGGGGAGGGTCAGAGGGAGAAGCAGGCTCCCCGCCGAGCAGGGAGCCCGATGCGGGACTCGATCCTGTGACTCCGGGATCATGACCTGAGCTGAAGGCAGTCGCTCAACCAACTGAGCCACCCAGGCGCCCCAAGGGATTTTTCTAGAGGGTACGTTGGACCTTGTTGCTGCCCTGCTTAATGTCCTCCAGAGGCCTTTAGGATCACCTCTGAATTCCTCAGCATGTAGAGAGATTTTTGTTTGTTTATTGATTTGGGGCTTTGTGACTTTTTGATGGTGTATCAATAGCGTTGCCTTTGTAAATAAAGGATCATAGTCTCTTTGTGAAACCTTACGATTAAGTAAGATGATTAAATCCTGGCATTAGTCAGAAGCTGAGAGATTGACACAAGAGAAAGGAGAGGAACTCACAAATATGTCTTCCCTCCTCTTCCTTCCCTCAAAAAGAAAGAAAATCTAATAAAGCAGTTTTCATAAAATGAAGTTGCCGTATTAATCTCAGGAAATAGAGATCAGAAAATACTGAAGCTGTGAAAACATTGTAAAGATTAGAAAAATTATTAAAGGAAAACTCATAAAACAAGCAATTTAAAGATTTTATTTATTTATTTGAGAGAGAGAATGAGATAGAGCATGAGAGGGGGGAGGGTCAGAGGGAGAAGCAGACTCCCTGCTGAGCAGGGAGCCTGATGCGGGACTCGATCCCGGGACTCCAGGATCATAACCCGAGCCGAAGGCAGTCGCCTAACCAACTGAGCCACCCAGGCGCCCGATAAAACAAGCAATTTAATATTGGATTCATTTCTTGGGTAGAATGCCTTCTAGGTTAATGTAAATGGAGCTGAGAAGTATTAGCAATTCCTCTTCACACCTTTACAAATCATACCCAGATGTCAAAAAAAAAAAAAAAAGGCAGAATGCCTCTGCTGTCAGCCCCATTACACAGACCAGAATAATAGTTTAGCAGCCAATTTCTGCTCTTAACAGAACTCAAGGGAAAGAAATGACAGAAAAGCAACCAAGGCTGGTGAAACTAATTATGATGACAAGCATATTATGAGAGACAGGTAATGGGCAGAAAACTACATTACCATCAGTGTTTTTCTCAGCCTAGTAATGAAGACCATGCGGACAGAGGTGTAAAAGGCGCTGCTTGTTTGGCAGCAGGTGTGGAATAATTGGTTTGGTGTGAGGGGCTAGAAGGAGGGCAGAATAACTACGGCAAAAGAGAAAAATGCCATGGATGTTCCTTAGATTTGGATAGGAGATTTTTTGTTTTTGTTTTTTTGAGATGCTTTGTGTTTTATCTGTAAAAACAAGAGCAAACTCTGTGATAAGAGCCATGGCACTGTGGTTCTTTTTTTTTTTTTTTTTTTTTAGATTTTATTCATTTATTTGACAGAGAAAGAGACAGCGAGAGCAGGAACACAAGCAGAGGGAGTGGGAGAGGGAGAAGCAGGCTTCCCGCCAAGCAGGGAGCCCGATGCAGGGCTGGATCCCAGGACCCCGGGATCATGACCTGAGTCGAAGGTAGACCCTTACGACTGAGCCACTCAGGTGCCCCTGGCACTGTGGTTCTTAACCCCTTCTGGGAATCACAGAACTCTGAGAATCTGATTATCCTGCAAATCTTTTACCTCTCTTTAAAACAGCCCTTTAGCTCATGTATGCACAATTTCCAGAGCCTCAAGGGCCCATTCTTGGACCCCAAATGAAGGACTTCTACAGAATATTGCAGTAACCTCCAATGGACTGCTTAAATAAATAATGGGACATCTACACAGTGGACGATTGTGTGCTAATTAAAAAGGAGGCACACCCCCTATTACTTCCTACTATGGACCAATCCCTGAGATATTATTAGGTGAAAAACAAGATATGATTAGGTGAAAAACACAAGGTATAGTTAATACTCATGGTACTTTAGCTACTGTTTATGTTAACACACACACACACACACACACACACACACGTAGTATCTTTGGAAAGTTGTATAAAAAGCCAGTAACAGAGGTTTTCTTTATGAGGGAACTGGTTTGGCAGGAGAGGATGGGGAACCTGGTTTTGAAATCGCTAACCATAAGTAGAATTAGGGTGAAAAACGGGGGGAGTTAGCTCTTGTCATCTTTACCACAGAGAGAGATCACACTGATCCTCAGTCTTTGTGATGAGTAGAAATTTAAAAAAAAATAGCATATGATTTTTCTTTTTCTTTCTTTTTTGTTTAAAAGATTTTATTTATTTATTTGACAGAGAGAGAGGGAACACAAGCAGGGGGAATGGGAGAGGGAGAGGCAGGCTTCCTGCGGAACAGGGAGCCCGATGCGGGGCTCTATCCCAGGACCCCGGGATCATGACCTGAGCCAAAGGCAGCCGCTTAACAGCTGAGCCACCCAGGCGCCCCTAGCATATGATTTTTCTAAATTGCTGTTATTCAAGATTATAAATAAAAGCTAATTATTTTGAACTACATATGTGTAAATAAGACATTCAAAAACATGTGCATTAAATCCTATTAAATAGAATCAAAAAAGTTATTTTTCTAGTTACCCTATGGAAAATTTTATGGCCATTATTGCCTTTAAAAAGCAACTAAAAGGACTAGACTTTTCTTTTTCTCCCTCCGCCTCCCTTATTTTTAAGTGGTTTTTGGTTTGGTTTGCTTGGCCAGGGGAGTTATTTCTCAGCTTCATCTTGTTAACTTTTCTTGTTGTGGTTGAATCTATTTTATTGGATTTTTTTTCAGTTACAAAGTAACACGTTTGCTGTAACAAGTCAAACAATACAAACATTTAGTAAAAGAAAAAAAAAAATTATCTCCCTCTAGTCCATCCACATCCTCAAGAGTAACCAGTGTGAACAATGTTATATGTAGCCTTCCATGACTTTGGACATTTCAAACCAAAGCTTACAAACATACATTCATGTACATTTTCCTACTTTTTTTCAGTCCAGTTGGTCTAAGTCTAACTCCTTGTTTCCTGGTACCTGCCTAATATTTCTTAGTGTGAGTGTATCACAGTTGATTCAACATTTCCCCTATCCATGGACATTGCTTTTAATATTTTGGATTTCTTTTTCTTCTACAGAAAATGCTATAGTAAACACTCTCATAAACATTGCCATTTCTACTAGTGCTCTTATTTCTAAAGAATAAATTTCCAGAATTGAGACTACTGGGTCAAAGGTTATGAACTTTAAATATTTTCATAGTACCAGCGATCCAGATTCCTGTGTGGCAGTGCCTGGAGTTCCCAAACATGAGATGCTCTTCTTGCTTTATATGTTGCCCACTTTCTTCTGTGAGAGAAAATAACTTGCTCATGAACAGACATAAAAAGTAAACTTCATACTGTGTAGCTAAAGAGATTTGCACACCATCATCAAGATGAAAAAACAGGTCTCCGGTTCCACCTTCTTATTGAAGTGATGCTCTGTGTCCTCCCCACTAATCTGCACACCTTGTCTGGATTATAGCCCTGAATGGCACGCAGACAAAGAGGCAGATGCTGAGCTCACTGACTCAGTGAGCACAGCTGGGGCAGGTCATTAAACAGACTCACTCCTGCCAAACAGCCCGCCGTACTAGAACACTAAGACTTTCCTTGCTTCACTGTATTGAGAAAGAACTTTTTTTTTTTCCCAGAGACATGTGTAGTAGAATAATTTTACATGATCTGAGTACCAATTATTAAAGAGTAGCCAATGATATTAAAAATAAAGACCAAGAAAGAGAGAAAGAGTGGGTAACTAGGACACTCTGAGTACTTTGTTATATAAATTGTATCTATACCACTTCAATTTAAATTCTTTAGGTTTAAAAATAATAATTACTGGACCCTTCCATGCGATAGGTGAGGTTTGCACAGGGTGCAGGATTTGGAGCAGGTGTCTTGAGCCCAGTCCTCCAACAGCAAGGATAATTTGGATGCCCCTGTGCTTGGCCCCTCAAGGCATCCATTGGTGTCTTTTCTCCTTTCCCTGCCTCCGTTATTCATGCCCTCCCTCCTGGAATGTGAGAGAGTGTAGGTGGCATTCTGGCTCAGAATATAATATGAGTTGGGAAATAATTGAAGTCATCCCGTGCTCAAGATTTTCTTCCCCCTCCACAACCACCCAGAAAAACATCAACTAAAAGCCTATACTAATAACCAAAAGATTATAGGTACAAGAAGCAGCTATTAAAGCAGAAATGCCACCCACTTGTAAGGTAGAACACGGTGAACAGTCACCAGCCTTAATCCTTTTCTTGAATTTTTGGTCCTTTTCCCGACAGAAAACAGAGCCCCGAAAGAATGGGATGTGGCAGCCAAGATTGGGGGGAAGGGAGGACAGTCAAGTCTCTGCCTCAGCTGGGGGGGATGTCGGTGGGTTCCAACAAGGAGGCAGAGCAAAGGCAATTGTAGGGAGAGATGAATAGAAAGGAAAGATAAACACAGAAGAGACTGTGTTTCTGTGTTTGAATAAAATGCATGCCAGGATTACATAAGGTCTTCAAATTCTTTCACTTTAGCTAGTATCACTCAGAATAGATGATTCAGGGAGCTCACAGGCAGGTAATATTTGCAGTAATGGGCTTTAGTACAAGTGCACATACCCCTTTTTATCCATTGGCACTGCTGCTTCCCAGAGACCAGGTGCATATTATTCAAGTTGGAAGAACTGTTAGAATGTGTAAAATCCAGTCGTTGGAAAGATGGTCATCGAGAACTCCCCTCCCCTCACCCCTGCACTCTTGTTTTATGCTGCAACCTTCCATTCTCCCCACAGTTGGAAGTCTCTCACCATGCTTTACTTTTTCCTTTTTCAGTAGTACTTCTCACGTGGTATACCAAATGAGCTACTTACTATTACATTTACTGTTTATTATCTCCATCTCCCTGCTGGAATGTACGTGCCATGAGAGCAGCGTTTTTTGCTTTGTTCACTGAAGTATTCCCAGCACCTAGAATAGTATTTGATTTGTAGCAGACATCCAATCAATTTTGAGTGAACAAAAGTGAAAAAGCAAATTACAAGGCAAGATATAAAATCCTGTTTTTCTTGTTTATCAAAATATCTATGTAATAATACATGCAATAGCGTAAAAAATCTGTAGGCAGATACACCAAATTTTCATTATTACTGGAGGGATCGGATTACAGGAGACTTTCCATCATGGATTTCTTAATGTTTCCCATTTTTACAATAAATTCTATTTTTGAAGTAAGAAATGCTATAACAAAATATAGAATTTTAAAATTTGGTTAGCTCTAAAAGAAGGAATTTTGTTTTGTGAGGACATAGGTTACAGTGGAAGAAAGTTATATTATTACAAGAGCCTTTTTTTCAAGTTTGATACTGTTTTGATAATCCTGAGTTTTTTTTTTTAAGATTTTATTTATTTATTTGACAGAGACAGACACAGCAAGAGAGGGAACACAAGCAGGGGGAGTGGGAGAGGGAGAAGCAGGCTTCCCGCGGAGCAGGGAGCCCAATGTGGGGCTCGAACTCAAGACGCTGGATCATGACCTGAGCCGAAGGCAGATGCTTAACGACTAAGTCACCCAGGCGCCCCCCTGAGTTGGTTTACACAAGACTTGCCTCCCTTGTGAACTAATAGGTTTCCATAAAAGAGTCATCTAATATACTTTTTTTCCCTCAGTAGCCTAGTAATAATTGTTTTTACCTGGCACGCCACCTGAGGGCCATTCCTAGGTGGTAGGTAATAAATGGGATCGTACTGTACCACAGTTATCTCCCCACCTACCACTGTTCCTGGCACATGGTAGATGTTCACATGTGAGCAAAGGGCTCGTGAGTGAGTGATGATGCCTTTGGTGGCATGGATGATGGTAGGGTTGCCTGGGAGCTGGGGGAGGTGGGGAGGGAAGGTCAGGTAGCAGGGGACTGAATGGCCTTCTTATCCTTAGCTCAGCTCTTCGTGTGTCCTGAAAATAGCTGGTCAGCAAAAGGTGCTTCTCAAACTACAGCTCATAGTCGGCAGAATATGAATGCTGTTCATCACAGGAGCTATGGTGTGTGGTATGTTGTTTTTACAGGGAGTATCTCCCTATAGTGAAGAGTCTATAGAACAGGTGCAGAATTAGAGCATATACTCATTCTGCCTCTTGTAGAATTTAGGGCAAAGGAGGCCTCAAGAGAGCCTGTGTGCTACATAGAGTATCCATTATACAGCATTTATTTTATTTTTGCTAATCTATTTATTTTTAGATTTCTCATCTTTAAAAAATTGTATGGTCATTTTCCCGAAATACTGAAAAGAATATTTACATTAAAGAAAAAAAAAAAGACTATTCCTTTCAGTAAAAAAAAAAAGTTCGGTATTTATGTCTTTGTTTAAAAATACTTTCTCTGATGGGGCGCCTGGGTGGCTCAGTTGGTTAAGCAACTGCCTTCGGCTCAGGTCATGATCCTGGAGTCCCAGGATCGAGTCCCTCATCGAGTCCCGCATCGGGCTCCCTGCTCGGCAGGAAGCCTGCTTCTCCTTCTGACCCTACCCCCTCTCATGCTCTCTCTCTCTCTCTCAAATTCTCTCTCAAATAAATAAATAAAATCTTTACAAAAAAAAAAAAAAACCTTTCTCTGAGCATATATTGTCAATTTTAAATGAATCCGTTTAGGTGCCTTGCCCCTAAATTAAATGTTTGAAGGAAGATGTCTTATTTTATTTCCAGGATAAAACACTTTCCATTTTCATGTTAACTGAAGTATGGTTTTACTAAACGACTGACGCTCAGGCACGGTGCTGGGTAGGATGGAGGCTCTTGGTGAGCCTTATGGATCAGTTTTCTGGGCCAGGCACAGGAGTGTGGGGGAGAAAAGACCTTTTCTGGGGGATCTGGGAGGCCTCACAAGAGGGGGGACATTGGCTCCTCATTTCAATTGCCCCTCATTTTCAGGTGACACTTATGAAATGATTGTACTCCCATGAAAGATAGCTTCTACATAATTCTAGATTGTCCTGGATATCTCTCATCAGAGAGGAAGAAAAGCCACATGAATTATTTACAGAGCACCAAGTTATTTCCTTTCATGAGCTCTGACTTTGTTTTTGTCTCTGCAAACTGAGATTTTGTTTATCCATGAATAGTTTTCCCTGGGGCATGAAAATATGACTCTTTCATTATGAATGAGGTTTTTTGTTTGAGTCCATGTTAACTAAAACATGCAAAATAAACTGTTTTTCATTAGATCCCTTTCAGCTCCCCATAAAAACAGAACCAACAAAAGAAAGAGCAGTTCAACCAGCACCCACCAGGAAGCCCACTGTGATTCGAATTCCAGCCAAACCAGGAAAATGTAAGCACTAATCAGCCTTCTTTCTTTGCTTTTCCAAGAGCCTGGGAGAAATATATATTAATTTGTCAATGTCTGCTTTTGAAATTATGTGTGATTGGCCATTTGTTATTATTTATAGTCAAAGGAGATTTAAAAAACAAGTTCTTGGGGCTCCTGGGTAGCTCAGTCGTTAAGCGCCTGCCTTCGGCTCAGGTCATGATCCCGGGGTCCTGGGATCGAGTCCCGCATCGGGTTCCTTGCTCGGCAGGGAAGCCTGCTTCTCCCTCTCCCACTCCTCCTGCTTGTGTTCCCTTTCTCCTTTTTTTACAGTACGGTACTATAAATGTATTATCTTTATGGTTTTCTTAGTAAAGTTTTGGGAGAGGCAGAAGTTACATGTGGATTTTTGGCTGCGCCACGGTATCAGCACCTCTAACCCCCACATCGTTCAGATGTCAACTCAGTG